TGTAACACATATGAGTTGAAATGATTACTATAGCTGGACAGGGGTCTTGATGCTTGGCTGCACCCTCTGTATGAAAGACACATCCCTTCACCATTGCCTCAACAAATCCATAGTGATGAATCCACGGTGGGGCTCAACAGTGCAAACAGATAATATACCATGGTATGTTTCTTTGCAATGATAGAAAATTTACTTCCTATTTATTATTTAGAAATTTCTTGAAAGAACACACATGACTTGTTGAGAATAATCTACCCTTTGAATTAAATTTGATTGTGCTATGAAAAGCACCTCATCCTTGACTGAGTGACTGACCTGAAGTGGCTTCTTATTGATCATGGTGCAGAGTCAAAGCGGACACTGCCCCGTGTCCTTGTGCCCCGTGAATTATGAATCTGGTGTTGTTGAAATGAGAAGCAAAGACGAATAATTACAGGCAGGGGCACAGAGCCACGGAACAAAAGAATGACAATTGGATTAATGGAAGCTGAAGTGGCGAATAAGTGAAATAGGCAGCACTCAGAACTCAGGAACGTTACATGATGCAACTAGAAAAATTGCAGGAAATTGCAGAGACATTTTTGCTCAAATTGAAATGTTTGACCCTTAAAAAACACATTACAACTTCCAACTTAAGCGCCACCCAGTGATAGTATTTCAAACACTGTGACAAACAGAAGCAATAGGCTTCATTTCCCTCTCATTCTGTCTTCTGAAAAGATGAATCATAATGGGACACACTAGCCAAAGACTAGCAGTGTCCCAATTCCATTCTACTGATAGTACTCAGTATATAATTTTCATAGTGTACAGATTTCTGTTACCTATACAATAAATAAATGTACCTTTTATTTTTGTACCAGCAAGGAGTGATAAAAGATGTGAACTCGTATGTCAGTGAACCTGCAACCTTGGAATGACAATGTCAGTTCACAAAGATGTGTTTCATATTACCTTCCACACTTTATCATTTTGGGCTGTTGTGAGTACGAAGCAACATCTGACAAGCAGCGTGGGTAAAGCAGTTCTTGTCAAATCCTTCTAAAACTGCAAATGCATACAGACGTAGCAACAGTAACTAGGAAAGTGAGGCTTAGTGAACAGTTGGTTGGTAGTTTTGATTGTTGTTGGGAGAAAAGCAGTTTAAATGAGTGGCTGCACTAATTCAGTGTAAACCGTACAACATAAGTCAAAACTGGAATGATTCAGTTGGTAGTTTGTGTAAATCAATCTTCACTTTATTGAAACTGGCAGGAGATAAGCAGAGCAGGGTGGAAACGATGTCAACGTCAGGTCCCTTTACTCATCTTTACTCACTTGTGCTCACTTTGTTAAAATGTAAAATAAATCAATAAGTTCAATCTCATTGAAGTCAAGGCCCATTTACTTGAGCACTATGTACAGTTTGGAATAAATATTTTACACAAGAGCTTACAATTGTTTTTTCTGTGTCCCATAGTCTGACCTGCTTTATGCTTGTACACCACTCATCTGTTCAATGACTGAACATTTTACAGTTAGAAAAAAAGAATTACACTCAGCAAGAGCTTTTCCTGCCCAGTCCGTCCCACTTTCTACATCAATGAATGTCAAGTATACTTAATACTTGGTATGTAATCATACCTACTAAGCTTCAGAGCTCTTACTGAGCATCTGGCTTCCTGTGTTTAAATGGCTGTAATTGTCTGCTGTGCTCTTATCAGCTTGTTACCCATAATAATATCCAAAGACATAAATGACGCAGTGCAGTGAACATTCAAAAGTCATCTGGCATGTTAGAGCAAAATGTGCAATAAAGTTATTGTTTTCTGTCTGCTGCTGCTAATACAACTCTGTGTGTTGTTGTTACTGTTTGCAAATGCAGCTGCTTTTTTGTTCTGCGGCTACTGCAAAAAAAAAGTCAGCTTGCAATACATATGTCATTGCCAATAGCGTCACGATGTGCTGGTGCTGGTGGTGAACCAATTGGACATCTCAAGTAAAACATAATGCACGTTTGAGCTGGTGAGTTACTCCATATTCAATCACCATCTGGTCCACTAAAGTGAAATCCTCACATGAGCACTCTGCATTACTGAACACACACATGCACACACACACAGTTGTGTTACCATAGCAATTCATTATGTAAAAATCCACCAAAACCTACTTATGAAAATGTGCATTTTAGCTGTGGATGCAGAATCCACTTGTGAATATCCCTCTACAGCAGAAGGTTTCTGCCACTTCTCCAACTTTTCCATTTGCACCGACACAACGGTGGCACATTCTGGTCCACTCTCCTGTTTTCCTGCTGTGCTATGAGATGACACTTGTAATACCAGGAAATTGGAGCCGTGTTAGAGCCCTCTGTTTTCCTCCTCGGTCTCCAAGTAATGAATCTCCAGCTGAGAAACGTCTCCACCTGTAACACTGACACCTGTTGCATGAGTTTTTACACGAACATGTGGACAATTGCTTCAATATGTAACCATTCGGACCTTCACCCTCATGAAAAACATGGGCATGTTCCTACAGTAAATCAAGGGAGTGGGTGTAATTGATTTAAGCTGTTTGACTTTTCTATATGCCAATAATCCTTTTTACTTTACAAACCTTGACTTTCGCAAATGGATGTTTATGAGAAGAAATGCAGCACTGCTAACAATACACTGCCAGTACATGGTCATATGTTGAATTAGTAACTGTGAAGACATTTAATAGATTCATGGCCACATTTCATGGCCATCGTTGCTGAAACATTTCCCCCTCACACATACAAAATCCATTTGGTTTATTCAGAAACTCAACAACAATTTCTCCTCAACTGACAAAGCAGCAGTCAGTCAGAAAGCCCTTAAATACGCTGAAAGAAATTCAAATGACACAAAGCAGATCATGACCCCAATCATCTCTGAGATTAATAAGATACTTGTTTGGCCCGCTGAGTGGATGCTGTTGTGTCACAGCGGGGATCAGGTGCATCAAGCTTATGCCTCATCAAGCTTCGTCACAAACTGGACTAAGATCCTCAGAGACAAGTCCAAGAAAACAGGCGAGCTTCTGTCTTAAACATGTTAGAGGCTGGATGTTTTCTACACCCAGAGAAATGACCTTTTCAGAAATCACAGCAAGAATTTCTATTTTTAAATGTAGCTTTCCGTTTTCGTCTTCTGTCTATAAAATATCCTCACCTCAGCCTGTATTATCAAAGTGGAAGAATGTAGGGAGGGCAGGATTGGCCTGCTTTTCTGGCAATATATTTTAATAATAATATTTGCTCAGTTATTAGTTTTGGGACTAATATAAGAGCTCTGTGTGATAAATTAGGCACCGTTTTAATCGTCTAATTGAATAACTGCTATTGTCACAATAACTAGCCAATTTTGAGCAGTCTCTGCATTTCTAGCACTATTTGTAATACTGGAGGTGAAAGAGTCAACAAAAGACTGCATCTCACCAGGGAAACACAAAGATGTTTGAGAGTGTTGAGCAAACATCCATTTTCTACATTTAACTTGAAGTAATTGGTGCTCCTCTCCTTAGGGACTGCAGACTTTTGGAAAGTGTGTTTAGTAGTAGCTAAAGGAGAGGCACAAAGTGTGTTTAGATGCCTGCATTACTGTGCAGTATGATGCAGTATAATGAGTCATCTCCCCAGAATCTCCTCCAATTACTAGTGATAAGGAAGATTCACATATTAACAATGGCTTTGCTTTGTACAGGGTACAAATATGAGCTCCAAATTCTAAGTAAAGCTTTTAGTACTTACAGCAGTTTGAAGGAAATGTTTTCATGAATATGCAAATTTATGCAGCAAGATGCTACAAGTGATCAAATCATCTAATGCATAATTTTGTGCAATAGAGAGACTTGCTTTGAATTCTTTTAATTAACTAAAAAGAGAAAACTTTTGACACTTCACAACACCAACGATGAATACTCGGATATATTCTGACAAAGTGTGTTTATAATAGTTATAACAGATGTTTGCTGCATGACATGGGATCTAGTGGTGGTAATTAGGTATTTAGTGACACATGCTAACTGCAGCAGGTTGAAGAGGTCTTGTCCAGTGTCTGTACGCCCGTGCTCATTAAACAGGATTATGTAAATGCCTTTGGTCAGTTTATGTCACAACATTCTGCTTTTCAAAAACATTATTTGAACTGCTGGCCTTGCTGTTCACATCAAACACCCTGGACCTCAACAATGTCCCTCCTCATCATGCAAATGACAACAAAGGCAGAAATACTGGAACAAAAGGACAGTTCACCAGATTCTACATGACAACTGAATCCCTAATAAGTAGAAAAATAGCAGAGGTCTTTTCTCACAAACACCTGTGAACATCCAAGCCTGCTATGAGATTAAATATAATATATTAAGTTTTACTGCCCTCTGCTGTACAAACCCAGAATTACTTGTACTGTGTAAAGTACATTTTCATTGAATCTACAGATCTCTTCCTAACTGTAGTTAATAAAATGTCAGAATATAGCTACACATTTTCAGTCACCTTCAAATTACAGTCTGCTCCATCTAACCATCATTAGTAATAATCTATTTAAAAGGACCACTGTGTGGGATTTAGTGACATCTAATGGCGAAGTTGAAGACTGACTTAACATCTTAACCTAGAGTAGTTCTACTATTAAGTCCTGAGTTTGAAATCAGGTAAACTATAAATTGTTTGTTGTATGTTTTTACTTTCAAAAATCCTGTACATCGTTGACCACTTGTACGGTTTACAAGTGATCGACAATATGCAGAAAGAATAAAAGAAAACTTTCAGTATTCTCCCACTCAGCTTCAAGTGGTCATCATCACCCATAGAGATGCTGCCCCGTGTTCATCAAAAACTGTCTGAATGTAAACACACTCCAACCCTTCCTGCTGAAAGCTGAATAAATGATTCCACTTCAGAACTCTAATGGACTTGCTGATTTGCCTAAATAACCGTATCTCTCAGAGTCTCAGTGTGTCTTCAAATCTGAATCAACCGAGAAAAATTCAGGGTGCATCTTTGAAATAATTTATTCAATATTCATATGTGGTAATATAATGGTTTCAACATGATCAGCATATAAAATATGCACAGAGCAAATCATTAGTAAAAATGACAGATCCTGCTGGGAAAGTATGTGCTTATATTGTAGAAGGCGGTAATATCTGAGCAAACTTCCAAGAGTTTTTCTTCATTTAACAATCATTGATCCTGGATATCGATATTCCAGATGTGCAGTTTCTAGTAGGTAATTAGCACAGCTTGAAGTCTAAATGGTGGTCGGAGATTAAGAGAGGCTGCAGTTGGACTGTTTGGACTCCCTCCCCTAAACAAAGAGAAAATACAGTTAGAGACAAAGACATAGATCTCATAATAATTAAAAATGTATCAAAGAGTAATTAGTCTTTTATCTTCTGCCAATAAAGAAAATTCAAAGAGGATGGGTTGCCATGACAACAGTGTACCTCCATGTGTTCCTGTTAGCATGCTACTGACGGCTAAGCTTTCCGGGTACCTGTTGTCTCTGCTGCTGGCGTCTGTATTCTTCTTCACTGGCAGCGAGAGCCTGAGCGAGAGCCAGATCCTCCTGCTCCTGAGGGCTGAGAGACAAACAACAATACATCAGACTCACACACCAAACACAGTGAAAATGTTGTTGTTGGTACTTGTGCTTTAGGTCGTAACCGCTGTGAAACAATCACAAAATAGCGTTTTATTTCTCTGACGGACCGGTTCTCTATCTACCAGCACTCTCTCTCTGTCATTTACTGTCTATGTAGCTCGACCACAGCTGTCTCTCTCTCTCGCTGAAACAAAAGGGACACAAACCAAATGGAAACTTCTTGGTGTCGCTGACCCATTTTAGCATTTTTGCAGAGAAACAGAGAGTGTTCACTTTCTGGTATTATGTAAGAAGACACAGACAGGGAGGACAACCTTTTTTTCAAGCATGGACTAGATCATGTAAAGCATTTGGAATTGACATCATGTTGGTTTGGCTACATTAATAACAACAAGCCTCCTCCACACGTGGCTCACCTGCTGTTGTGAAAATGGAATTGCAGGTAAAAAAAAAATCTAAAACATGTTTTTTTTTTAGGAGACATACTCCCAGGAAAGTCAACAAACAGGGAGAGAAAAACAAGCTGGGGCAAGCTGGCGTGTGTGCAGAGCAGAGCAGAGAGACAGAAGTGTTGACAGTGTGTGCGTGGGATAAGCAGGGCAATTTGTGAATAAACACAAGCGAAATGCTCACTTTGTATCCTTGTCCTATTAACCCCTTCAAAGCGCTTATTTTTTTCAACTCTGCAGGACAACTAATGCTGACACAAGTGTATTCGGACTGATGCTGAACTGACAATAGGATATTTCTATGGTTTTTGATAATGTTCACTCACGTAAGGGCCGGCTGAACTGGCTGCCTCGAATCCGCCAAAGACATCTCCAGAGCCCTTTGTAAAGCCTGCTCCTCCGTCTGCAATGACAGCACCAGCACACATGTTCAGATTTTATTTGCATCGGGAATCTTTTAATCAGGTGACGTCATTTTAATAATGTACATACCAGTCCGGCCTGAAATGATGCTGATGGTGGTATAACATTCTGTGCTGAAACAGAAGTAGGGATCCGCTGGGCGGGACTAGAAAAAGAGAAGAAGAAAAAAACAGGACAATAAATGAGTGAATTAATAATTAAAATTATAGTTAATTCATATTTTTTAAGGTTAGAATAAGAGTTTTATGTTGAACATGTAAAATAAATGATGAGTAGAAGTGCTTACCCACTGTTGTAGACTCTGTTATTTGCACTCACACCATTATAAACAGGTCTAGGGTTTCCTGAAGCAGATGAACTAGAACAAGAGGCAGAGGAAGCACCATGGGCCCTCGTAGAAGCAGCATGTCTGAGACATAAACATAAAGTCACTTTTACTGTGAGATTTCAGATAAAAGAACAGTATGTGAAGGTGTAGTGTGGTCGTACCCACCCTGCTTTGGACAGAGGTTTCCCATCAGTCTTACAATCATGGTCTAATGGGTGCCGATGTTTAAGACAGTAGTTTAGATGACACTGGTCACAGGTCACTCGCATCATTTCCTTCTGCTTACAGCCTCCTTGAGAACATTTATTTGTGAAAATCTGAAAGAAAGAAAAAATAATGTCTGTTATTGTTGTTTAGATTACTAACTGATTGTAAGGTGAAACACCTCTGCTTTATATTAACCTTTCTCTTTCTCTGCGCAGGGTCCGATTTGCAATCCCGATCAATGTGTTCACCGACTTTGATGTCGGGCATCTCTCCTCTCTTGATGGGAATGGGGATGTTACACAGAGGACAGACTGGGACCTGGACATCCTACAGGAAAAATACAATCAAAGACATTAAACAAACACAGGATTGCAGATCCTCAAGAGGTTTTTGTTTCTTTTTCAAAATTATAAATCATTACATTTAGTTATAATTTGTTATATTACCACCACCACTGCTGTAAACTCTGACCTTAACAGTGTAAAAAAAAAAAAAGTATATAAAAACAAAAACAAGATATGGAGACCATCGTGGTTCTATGATACAATTTATTCATTGTTGAAGCAGATGATCAAAATCTGCAAATGGATTTATTTTGTGGACGCTAGCTGCCACAGTTTAAGCAAGCCCTCTCTCTTAACCTATGTTAAGACCAATTCAATTTTGATTGAATACTTACCCCATTTTACGTTACAGTTGAGGCATATCAAAACATGTTCGACACATTATTAAAAAGGTGTACTGAAAACAGTTAGCAATTACCTTTTTGTAGGATGACATGCATTTGTGAGTTGCATAGGTTATGTGGTCTTTGCAGAAAATCTCTTGACAGGCATCACATCTCATAGGAAGGAAATCTGCGATATAAAATAAGGTGTTTAAATGTCAGCTTCACATCAGACATTGTGGGATAAACCAGCAGGGCATTGACAGCTTTCCCAGAACAGCGCTCACCTAAACGTTTGCAGGTCTTCTCAGAGCAGTGATCTCCCAAATCTGGAAACTCCATCGCAGCAAGACCTCTACAGCTGACAGTGGTGAAATCTGAACAGCCTGAAGGAGGAAAGAAAAGAACAAGTTTAGCGTTTTAAAAAGAAAAGTGCTGACTGTTTAAACACTGAAATGGGTGGAGCTACCGGATGCTAGCTGATGTTTACTGAGGCATTAGAAGTCAAGTCATCATGAGTTTTCAGAACTGATACAAGTTAGCATCGTGTTAAAAGCTTATAAAGTCAACTACACAAGTTTACACCAACTCAGAAGCACCGCTGGTTCTGGCTTACATAAGTTATCTTTGTCTAGAAACCCGTAAATCTTAAATGTTACACAGACATTACAAAGAGACTGCTAGCTAGGCCAGGCTAACTTATACGATTAGGCTGATTACGTAACGACAGCTCACGTTGGTTGCGAGTATAACGTCGATATAAGTTAATAATAATAATAATAATAATAACAACAACAACAAGCGGACATGTCTGTAACGTTGCTGCGACAAAAGCAGGAAACCAGCATGTTGTTTTTAACTCGCCACGACTGCTAGCAGCTAGCTCATGTGTCGCTAAGCAAGGAGCAAACAGTAAATGGGCCCCTTGTTTAGAAATCATTAAAGACAACAAACAACAACTTTCTCCCTCTCGTTACTAAACCCCCCGAGTAAACACCGTTAACGTACAGCTGTTTTCTCGCTGTCAAAGCCAGGTTAGCTCACATTTAGACCCTTGTTTCTGACAGCTAACGTCAACCATTTGTTTATTGTTTTTTTGTTTACTCACCAAATCCCGTTTTCTTGACGGTCTGTTGTTGTCGTCTTGGTCGTAGAAGGCAACAGTGTTACCTTAAAGTATCCCGGTTAATTCAGATGTGTTCGTGCCTTTTTACACAGCACCTTTAAGCCCCGATCCCTGAGCACCGCTGTTAGCCACTGAGCTGTCTGTTTCCATCAAGTTTTGATGTGTCACGCACGCACGGTCCTCCCACGACGTAACCTGACGTAAGAAAGACTGACGTCGACGCAGGTGTGGCTTTATAGACGGTCAGCGGAGACGTCTCGAAACATCTGGACTTTTCCAGAAGGATCTGTGATTTTTTTTTTTTATATAAGAGTAAAAACTACAATGTTAGGCTTTGTTTATTTTATTTGCCTTATCCAACCCCATCCTCTCATCCCAGTGTCTCTCTGTGTCTTCGCCATTATTACGTTACGTTACCATCCTACACGGACAGATAGAGAAACACAGCTGTAAAATGTGTTTTATTTATTTTAAGCTCAAGTGTTGTATCGTTTTCACATTGACGGAGTAGAGGACAGAATAACAAGTGTTTGCTGCCCTGGAGTGGTCAAAATTAGGCACTGCAACACATTAAATTGGTCATTTCAGAGTAAATGCACAGATACTACGACATACACGTGCATTAAATACTTTTACTATGTAATAAAAACCTGTCCCATCTATTCTAATAAACAGCATTTCCATATATACTAGCTACTACTTTGGATGTTTTGCTATATCTGTTTCTTTATATGCTTAGTGTTGGGCAGGAAATCAGATACACTGTCATTGCCTTGTTTTATTTTGAAAGGGTTGGAGCTACTAGGTTTTCTTGCCCTCCAGTGGTCACAGGGAGGAACTGCAACACTAATTTACTTCTCATTATTAGTGAGATTATTAACAAGTCAGCATTAATTAGTCAGTGTTGTTGTTCTATTAATAGTTTTAATAACTGTTTTCTGGTGTGGACATCTTTCTACACCTCTGTTTCTGAAGGAAAACAAAGACGGCAGCCCCCAGCTAACTGGACTGGCAACAGAGTCACAACTTGGGAAACCGGTAAACATTGTTTTTTTAATAAAAACTTCATAATATAATAACTTTATTTGTATAGCACTTATCTAAACAAGGTAAAAAAAAGTGCTTGACAAAATAAATTAGATAAAAACAAACAACAAAGATATAAGCAATCATACACAAAACACAGTTAAAATATGAGAATAAAAGAAAATAAAACAACACGGTAACAACATCAAGAATTACAAATCAGACATTACAAACGGTTAACAGCTAATCTATCTTGCTCAATGTGATCTTAAATTTAGTTTGTTTTCTTCATTACGTTTTCCTGTTTTTGCTTCCCTCTAGTGGTCACAGTGTAGAACTGCAACACATCGATACAGACATGATACACTTATTAGAATTCTGTAGAGGTGTAAATAAAGGTATTCATAGTCATGTTATTACTAATAGCATTAACATCTATATCAATAATATACACTTTAATCATCATACAGTATGTACCCTTGCACCATGTAATGCATTCCAGTAATCAGCCCTAAAATAAACCTGTCATATAGTCATCACTTCTGTCTGTGGGAACACGTATTCCCAAATATCTCAGCACTGAATGAGACTGGAATCCAACAAATGACTCCCATCTGGGCTTCTCTTCAGTGTAGAGCAACAAAATGACTCTTCACATCTCTCCAGCATTTTCATTTTAAATGCAGATTACCTTTTTTTTCAGACTAGAGATACATTCAAGACCAGTCCACTTGATTCATTCAGTCGTGATTCTTTTTTTCCAGCCCTTTACCCTCTCTGCCAGCTGACTCCCTCCTGAAAGATGCTTGTATTTTAATTAATTTGTCACTACTGCTCATCATGTCTTGTTGTCCCTTGTCAGCCACAGCGACATATGAGATTGACACATTTCCAAATATTTGACAAAACAATTTCACAATTTTTAATCTTATTGCAGTTTGTGAATTTTAACAATTGGTGCATATCAGTATTTCTTAGTGTTCTAATTTGTAGTAGAGAATTCATTATTATCTCCCTGCTGAGCAACATGGCCTTTTCTCACATACAAGACCATCGCAGTGGCCCCTGTGCATGATTTAGCATGCACTAGCAAACACTTTGATCTGTTGCACATAGATTGCAGATGTAAATCAATGCAGATGTAAATCAATGGCAGGGTAAGGAAGCTTTACTGAAGCAGTAGCAGGACTGTTTTCGTTAGGGCAGTACTTCTTCTGTACACATCTGGGAGCTGGGGCCAAAAGAAAGCATCGAACATTCCCCAAATACGCATTTTTATAACATTTTATACTGTATTTTAGATTTACATAAGCCTTAGTACTGTACTGGACTTTTGGGATCAGACTTACTTTAACCATTACTGGGCCACTGAGCACATGAACTCCTTCAGGGTGTCAATAATTAGTGCTCCCATGGGAAGAGTGGTGAAGATAAGGTGTTGGAGACATGTTGTGTGAAGACGTATTTACCTGAGAGGCAGTTTCCCATTGAGTGGACAGCAAGGCAGTAGTTGAACCGCTGAGTTGGCTGCTTAATAGAGGGCCAGTTGGCAGCAGCAGGTACCTGTGGGCGCCTGCTGCTTTATTCACAGTGTGTTTTAGGGGGTAAATGTGCTCACTGAACCCTGCAATTATTCTTTTTCTCATTATCATTAGCTGGACAGCGTGTGAGTGCTGCATTGTGGGAGACACTTTATGCTAGTGGTTAACATTTTGTACCTGCAGTATTACTAGGGATATGCAATGAGGGACTGAGGGAATAACGTATAAAACTGCCTTTAACTTCAGGGAAAACTAGAATTTGACTTCATTGTGTTTTATTGCTGTTTTTTTTATCTGATATGTTCCTCTGTCCTCTACAGTAAAGGTAATAGACAGTGGAAAGGATTTGACTTGGAGGCCAAACTGTGTCCTCCCTCAGCCATAATGCCCTAATCTCTGTTTAGATACCAGCTGTCCGGAGTACTCCACATTAGATTGTTAGCTACAGTGGGAACTCTGTTGGTTTCACTTAAATAGATTTTAAGTTCCTAAACTTTATGAGATATTCTTGTCATTTTACACGTCCGGAGCCAGCGTCCTGCCTCCTCCTAGAATCTTTCCTGTGATACAATTGCACGAGTGTTTCTGATCACAGGCAGTTCAGTATCTGGTAGCAGAACTGTAAAGGTTATACAGTAAATTTAAATGATGAAAAATTTCTGACTTGTTGTTCATTGGATCTTTACATTACTGCACCTGTGTCTGGATTACAAAATATATGATGATAGTTTGTTTTTTATGCAATATTCTATATATATTCTAACAGATTCTACCATATATATGGTGTATGTACAGTATATACTGTGGTATATATCATATATCAATATAAGTTTCTGTTATCATGTATAATACACACATACATCTGTGTGACTCTTTGCACATTATCTATTTGCACAGCTTTCTACACAATGCTCAAGTCCTGTACTGTAAATGGCCTGAGTATTGTAATGTATGTCTATAGCTTTTAAATGTCACTTAATTTTCTTATTTTTCTCAGTTAATAAAAAAAAGTTAAGTTTAGCTTCAACATGCCCACTCGTATCTTATTTTTACTTTCTTTTAGGATTAGCCAAGTTGAGGGTTGATTTAGACTTAATAGGAGTCATAATAAATTCAGTCTCATA